AGAATCCGCGGTCGACATGGGTAGCCAGAAGCACCCACTCACCCTCTTCCGGCTGGGGCTGCCACTCTTTCCCCGGAAGCCTCGCAGCTCCATGGGGGATCAGGCCCTCGTTGGCCATGTCCAGGAGATCCTTCTCCGTGATGGTCGACTGAATCCAATCTCCCTGGACCCAGCCTTTCGGCAGGCGGGATCTGGACGAAGACCCACCGCGGCTGGTGGATCTCCCCTTCGCCTTCTCCGTCGCCTACGCCTTCTTCGCGCGCTCCAGCGCCGCCGTCTTCTCCTTGACCATGGCTTTCGGTGGGGCGCGTGAGGAGAAGTGGTGCGGAGGCGAGAGCGAGCGCGTTGGGCGGAGACGAAGGAGGCAGAGAGAGAGAATGCTGAGGCACTGTTCAAAAAACCCTCGCCGAGCGCATTTATAAGATCCCTTCCGAGTGGATGACAGGTGGACCCAGCAGATCTAATCATATCCTGGAACTGTTACGAGGGCGGGATACGTGGCGAAGAAAGCGACGCGGGGATCGAGGCGTCTATGTCCCGTCCCATCCGAATGCCGCGGTCCGCTCCGCTTTGCGCGTTTCCCCAAATTTTGCATCCCGCGGAATCCGCGAACGGCAGATCAGTCTGTCAGGCGCGGGATTTCCTACGATCCGTCGCTCGGAAATCGACGAAGCCCGAAAGATCACTCGACGAAAGAAAAGAATGGATCGAGTCGACTGAAGACAAGTTGCTCACTATCAATGAAGAGATTCTCTGGTTCAGAACAATGCACGACCAGTGTGCAAAGGTTAATCGGAAACAGCATCAACTTCTCCGTCACTCAAAGCCTCAATCCATTCGGGGGCTAATGATGGAGTCATGTACCTAGGGTAGGGTCACAGACCTGATCTAAGTACCCTGCCCAAGGACACCCTTAGAAGAGGTCACCTTCCAGTCGACCAACGAGAGATTCACTCGACTGACTTGAAGGACTCGACCACGAAGACTCACTCGACTACCAGGAGGTCAAAAGGCACTCTGCACTGCAACGGCCTGTAGTTAGTAGACTTTATGATAGTTAAGACACTTTATGTGGGGCGTTACCTGTAACGCCCCGGACTTAATACACCTTAAACCCTTCATTACGTGGGCTGGCTGGGGTCCTGGCGCACTCTATATAAGCCACCCCCCTCCACAGGCAGAAGGGTTCGGCACCCTGTAACTCATATACACATAATCCACTCGACCACCTCTGGGCTCCGAGACGTAGGGCTTTTACTTCCTCCGAGAAGGGCCTGAACTCGTACATCTCTTGTGTTTACAACCTCTCCATAGCTAGAACCTTGCCTCTCCATACCTACCCCCACTCTACTGTCAGACTTAGAACCACGACACCGTGCCAATGTCATCACTGGCAAATGGGTCTTCCGCCACAAGACTCGCCCCGATGGTTCTCTCGAGTGCTACAAGGCGCGTTGGGTGGTGCGCGGCTTCCGCCAGCGTGCCGGCGTGGACTTCACCGACACCTTCGCCCCCGGTTGTCAAACCGGGCACGATTCGCGCCGTCCTCCAGCTTGCTGTTTCTCGTGCCTGGCCGGTCCACCAGCTCGATGTGTCTAATGCTTTCTTGCATGGCCATCTCGACGAGCAGGTGTTCTGTCAGCAGCCTACTGGTTTCGTCGACACCGACTATCCGGACCATGTGTGCTTGCTCTCCCGTTCTCTCTACGGGTTGAAGCAGGCGCCTCGGGCATGTTACCAGCGGATCGCGACCTTCCTTCAGCAGCAGGGGTTCCGGTCCACACGGTCCGATGCCTCCCTGTTCGTATATCACCAGGGCCCCGCCACCGCATACCTCCTATTGTACGTCGACGACATCATCCTGACTGCGTCCTTGCTAGCGCTACTTCAACAGATCACAGCTCGCCTCGGCACCGAGTTCTCCCTCAAGGACTTGGGGGCTCTCCACTACTTCCTCGGCATCGAGGTAGTGCGCCAGGCTACTGACTTCTTCCTGCGTCAACAGAAGTACGCCTACGAGCTTCTGGAGCGAGCGGGCATGCTTAACTGCAATCCTGCTCCCATGCCTGTCGACACGAAGGCTAAGGTGTCCGCCGTCGAGGGTTCTCCGACGTCTGACGCTCCCTTCTACCGCTCCATCGTCGGTGCGCTTCAGTACCTCACACTGACGCGTCCGGACATTCAGTACGCTGTCCAGCAGGTGTGCCTTCATATGCATGCTCCTCGTACACCCATTGGGCTCTCGTGAAACATATACTTCGGTACATACGTGGCACCACATCCATGGGTCTCACCCTGACGGCATCACCTGACACCAGCCTTGTCGCCTACTCCGACGCCGACTGGGCTGGGTGTCCCGACACTCGCTGCTCCACCTCCGGCTACTGCGTCTAGCTCAGGCCCTCTCTGATTTTGTGGTCGTCTAAACGACAACCCACGGTCTCACAATCGAGTACCGAGGCTGAGTACCGGGCCGTGGCCAACGCCGTCGCGGAGTGCTCTTGGCTACGACAGCTACTTCAGGAGTTGCTATGTGAGGTCACCAAGGCGACACTTGTCTACTATGACAACGTTTCCGTGGTCTACCTTGCTGCCAACCCTGTCCATCACCGATGGACAAAGCATATTGAGCTTGACATTCACTTCGTCTGGGAGCACGTCGCACTTGGTCGTGTTCGTGTTCTACATGTGCCCACCGATCAACAGTTCACCGATGTCATGACGAAGGGACTACACACCTCGACGTTCGAGGGCTTTCGGTCCAGTCTCTGCATCACCGGCGACGCTTTGACTGCGGGGGGTGTTGAACATGTGTACATGTACGTAGGTCTGGGTCTTGTATGCAGTACCTGTAGTGTATGTCTCCCTCTGTATGTACATGTATCTTAGGAGACAAGATACCGGTCGCACCCCTTGTACCTATATATATGTGCCTAGTGCACGATCAATCAATTATCGATCCACCAAATCATTCTCTACATTTTTGCTCTGGCCATGCTCTCAATTAGCAGTTGTTTTGCAGGATATATCTGACAAATGATACATACGAAGTAATTAAACCACCGATGGATGGTAAACTAATCGAATTTCGAAAGTTTTGTCTTGGACGATCAGAAAAAGGGGTGTACCTTGCAACTACTTGTCGTTCTGGGTGGTTTGCATCTACCTCTAATACATATCCTCTTCAGGTTTGGGTCCTTGAGGAATCTGAGTGGCTAGACGAATTTGGTCTTGAAGCATAACAATTACCTTAGACCTAAAATGCCTTATGACCGTCCTGTTCTTGGTTCATGGGTCTTACAGGATATTAACTGCAATGAGTTTCTCAAAGAGTACAAGAAGCGCAATACACCAGCTGCCGAATATATGGAACAACTATTAGAAAAGAAATTTAAGTTGTTAAATTCCGTCAAGAAAATGCAAGTGGAAGCAAAGGTTGAATGTGACTCTGAAAATGACGACATTCTTGAAAATGAATATATGGTTGGTGGTTGTCACGATGGATACATGTATATCCTTGGGTTTCATCCATATAAAGAAGTTGTATTTTTGGAATGTATCATCATACAGAGGATTGGCCTATCATTTGAAGGATTCAAAGGTTCGGGATCTAGGCTACTTGTACATAACAAGTTATCATGTAATTTCATAGTACGAGCAGTTCATAACCGAGTCATTTACATACACACCTTGCTGGATAGGACACCCGCAAGCAACAAGAATGTAGAAAGTAGTCTCAAAGACTCGTATAGTTCGAACCCAATTGCACATCATCATAAATGCCATACTCATGTCAAAGGCCTTGTTCTTTTTTATTAGCACTGAATTTATCCATTTGAATAAAATTTCTATGTTTTCCGTCGGGGTTTTAAGAACATGAAATCTAAGATTGTGTCATTAGAAAAGGAAAAAAAAAACACATCTTATATAACCATTTACATCATGTTATGTCCATCATTGCTTTGTTTGACAACTCCAACAGTGATTCCCGAGGGACCCAAGATCATTTAGATAGACATAGAAGAATAATTCCTAAGAACATTTTAGGCGATCCCCTAAAGTCTGCAGTAGGTAATTTTTCTTTGGAGTTTGTTTGTTTCTGCCTATGAATCTGTCGGTGAGTGTCAGTGGCCAAACACAAAGAAGAAAAGAGAAGATGGCGAGATGGAATGAGCTCAAGATGTTGGAGAATGAGAATTGAAAGGCTAAGTTGGCAGCCGAAGAGAAAAAGTTGAAGGCGGAGGAGCGTAGGCTTGCACTCGAGGAGGAGAGACTTTATGATGCCGAGAAAGCCGAAGATTGTTGCTTTCATGTTCATGAATCCAACTATAATGGATGAAACCACAAAAAAATATTGTGAGCTCGCTCATGGGGAGATCTTGACCCAAACGGAAGCCTCTCTTCGGATTGGTGGTGGTGGTAGCCGCGGTGGTGGTGATGATGATGGCCGAGAAGACGGTGGTGGCGGTGACGGTGGCCAAAATTAAGAATAGTGGTGGTGGTGATGGTGGCCATGTGCACGGTGGTGAAGGTGGTGATTTCTTCGAGGAGGGCATTGTTTGAGTTTGTGCATGCCATTGGTTGGCCTCGATCCACAACATACCACATGCTATGTTTGTTGGTGATTTTGTAACATGGCATCTTACCGTTTCGTGTGTTTGTACCCTGATTTTCTCTTTTTGTCAGAAAAGAATTCATGAAAAAAAAATCCATGCGCCTTTGTACATTAATAATAATAGAAAAACTGAGATAGGTGATTTCTATGTCGCATACGTGCAAGCAAACGTTCTGATATTCAAAGTAAGTAAAGAATGTTTGGGCCTATCTACGACTTGCAACGGAACCCTTTGGGATGCATTATACGGGCATAAATATCAATATGCACCAGTCAGGTCCCTGGACAGGAGCGATACACAAATTCGACAAGAGACGAGGGGAGAAGCGAGAAAATCTAAGGCTCGGCGGAGGGGCAGAAAAGGCAAACTCCAGCGAGGAAAGAAATGGGCCCGAAGAGAAAACTGGATGACCTGGCCCAGCCATCCAGCAGCGGAGACCACGGCGGCGGCGGAGGCGGAGGCGATGATAGACCGACAAAGGCGCCACGGCTCTCGCCGTCGCCGCCACCGCCACCGCCCGCGCAGTCGCCCTCTCGCGACCAGACGGCGCTTCCCACCTCACCGCCCCCGCTTCAGCCGCCAGGGTCCCCGCCGCCTCCCGCCGACAAGGATCCGGTGAGTTCTCAGCGTCTTGTAGCATCTTGGGTGGCGATTGTCGCGGCGCTAGTTTCGCAAGAATCTGGTCCGGTCGGTGAAATTTGGTGCGTCTGGGTGTTCTTTATGTCGTTCTTGGCCTG